TCCTGGAATTAAAAGCAATCTGATGAGTGTGGGTCAGCTTGTTGAGAAAGGTTTTTCAGTGGTTATGAAGGACAACCTCTTGACGTTGTACGATTCTAATCAGAAGATGATTATGAAGTCTGAGCAGGGAAGCAACAGAACATTCAAAGTGAATGTAGAAACTTCTGAAGCGGAGTGTCTCAGTGCAGAAGGCGCTGAAGCAGACAGTAAGTTGTGGCACAAGAGGTTGGGACACTTGAACTATAGAAGCTTAGGGCATCTAAGTTCTAAGAAGCTCGTACATGGCATTTCGAAGATTGTGAAGCCTCAGAAGTCATGTGAGATATGCATGAAAGGCAAGCAACCCAGATTTCCATTTGCGTCAGAAGTAGCCCCCAGAGCAAAACATGCTCTGGGAGTAGTACACTCTGATGTATGTGGACCATTTCCAGTAGCTTCACTTGGAGGAAACAAATATTTCGTGTCTTTTGTGGATGAGTTCACAAGAATGACTTGGGTAACACTCATCAAGTTCAAGCATGAAGTATTTACAGAATTCCAGAAATTCAAGGTGAAGGCTGAGAAGCAGAGTGGTCAGAAACTGAAGATTCTGAGAACAGATGGTGGAGGTGAGTATAACTCTACAGAGTTCCAGAAGTTCTGTGAGGAGAATGGAATAGAACATGAGGTTACTGCTCCATATACTCCTCAGCACAACGGTCTTGCTGAAAGAAGAAACATAACTTTGCTTGATATGACCAGAAGTATGCTGAAAGAGAAGAAGTTACCTCACATGTTATGGGGAGAAGCTGTTGCCACATCAGCATATGTTCTGAACAGATGTCCAACAAAGAAGCTGAAGGAAACTATTCCTTTAGAAAAATGGACTGGAGACAAGCAGAGTGTTAGCCATCTGAAAGTATTTGGTTCTGTATGCTACAAACACATTCCAGAGGCTAGAAGACGAAAACTGGATGATAGAAGCAAAACAATGTTACTGGTGGGGTACCACAGTACAGGTGCCTACAAGCTTTATTGTCCAGAAACCAACAAAGTTGAAATCAGCAGAGACGTCGTTGTGAAAGAGTCAGAAACTTGGGATTGGAACAAGCTTCAATCAGATTCTGGTGTAGTGCCAACACCAGGGTTAGTTTCTGAAGACGAGTCAGAGTCAGAAGAAGAAGACTCTGAAGATGAGTCAGAATCTCAGGGAGATTCTGATAGTGGATCTGATTCTGATCCAGATTCTGATGATGATCCAGAATCTGGTGGTGATTTTACTTCTGGAAGGGAAAACTCTGAAGACATAAGGTCTGGAGAACAAATTTCCAGAAATAACTCTGAAGGTGGTAATTCTGAAGGAAGTAGTTCTGGACAAGGTTCAGAAGCCAGTATTGTTCCGAATTCTGGAGAAGCTTCAGAACAAGACCAGAGGCCACAGAGAATCAGACGAATACCAAGTAAGTTTGCAGATTTTAGCATGTTGCATGATACTGAAGTAGATTCTGAAGGAGAAATTGTTCAGTGTGCCATGCTAGTAGATTCTGAACTAGTGGGTATTGAAGAAGCACTCAAGAAGAAAGTATGGCTGAATGCCATGAAAGAAGAACTTGAGGCAATTGAAAGAAACAAGACTTGGAAGCTGACAGAACTTCCAAAAGGCAAGAAAGCCATCAGCGTTAGATGGGTTTTCAAGCAGAAGTTAAAGCCAGATGGATCAATTGGCAAACATAAAGCGAGACTAGTGGCCAGAGGTTTTCTTCAGAAACCTGGACTAGATTATTTTGAGGTGTTTGCACCTGTAGCTAGACACGAAACAATCAGACTGGTGATTGCTTTAGCTGCAAACAGAAATTGGCCTTTGATACATCTGGATGTGAAGTCTGCATTTCTGAACGGTCCATTACAGGAAGAAGTTTATGTGTCACAACCTCCTGGATTTGTGAAAAAGAATCAGGAAGGGATGGTATACAGGTTAAGTAAAGCTCTGTATGGACTGAAGCAAGCGCCCAGAGCTTGGAATCTGAAGATTGATTCGTTTTTCAAGGAACAAGGGTTTCAGAAGTGTGAGATGGAGTATGGTGTTTATGTTCAGCATACTTCAGAAGGTAATATGATTCTGGTCTGTTTGTATGTTGATGACATATTACTCACAGGAAGTTCTGAACAAGAAACAGCTGAGTTCAAGAAAGTTCTGATGAAGGCGTTTGAGATGACAGATCTTGGAAAAATGAGTTTCTTTCTAGGGATGGAACTTATATACTCTGAGAAAGGAATCATTTTACATCAGAAGAAGTATGAATTAGAGCTTCTGAAGAGATTTGAGCTAGCAAATTGCAAGATTGCTATCACACCTGCTGATACGAATCAGAAGTTGGACTCTGATTCAGATGGAGAGGATGTGGACGCTACAACCTTCAAACAGATGGTTGGTTCTCTGAGGTATTTATGCAATACCAGACCTGATATTTGTTACGCAGTTGGAATGGTCAGCAGATACATGAGCAAACCAAAGTGGTCTCATTACCAAGCTGCTGTCAGGATTCTGAGGTACATAAAAGGAACTCTGAAATATGGAGTGTTATTTCCCTCTGGAGGAAAGATCAAATCAGAACTTCTGAGTTATTCTGATTCTGATTGGTGTGGAGACAGAGTCGACAGAAGAAGCACTTCTGGGTATTTATTCAAGTTTCTGGGAGGTCCAATTTCTTGGTGTTCCAAGAAACAGCCTGTTGTGGCTCTGTCAACATGTGAAGCTGAATACATTGCTGGTGCTGTAGCCGCCTGTCAAGCAATTTGGCTTCTGAATCTGCTGCATGATCTGAAGGTAGAAGTTGAGGAACCTCTGAAGCTGATGATTGATAACAAGTCTGCAATTAATCTTGCAAAGAATCCAGTTCTACATGGCAGAAGCAAGCACATTGAGACGAAGTATCACTTTCTCAGAAGTCAAGTGCAGAAAGGAGTGCTAGAAGTTCTGCACTGTAGCACTCAGAAGCAGCTGGCAGATGTTCTGACGAAGGCAACAAAAACAGACCAATTTCTGCGCTTAAGAGATGAAATTGGTGTTGTTAACTTCTGATAAATTACTAAATTATGGGATGGTATTAGAGGGTAATTTAGTATTTTGTTAGTTAAAGATAAGTTTAGAATTAGGGCCTATGTGGCATTATTATTGTGTATAAATAGGTGTATTAGGATTACATTTATATCAATCAATTCCAATCATTTGTTGTCAGCCTTTTATTGCATTTATTCCCTTTCATCTTCTTCCTCAAATTCATCACCTTTGCACTAACAGAGTTGACTATGTTGTATTATGGTCTTTGTGGTTCATTGTCCGTAACAGCAATTTTAAGTTATTGTTGAAGCTGTTTATTAAATCAATAATTGTATCCTTAATATTAAAAGAAGCTACCTTTATGCAAGAAATGCTTGAAACTGCATCAATATTAAAAGGAGCTACTGAAGGATTTGTTGCTTTGCCACTAGAAACCATGGACAAAACGCAAGCTATGCAAGAAGCTAGGAAGTTGAAAGATAATTTAGAGAAGGATGCACAAAACTGTCTTTGGTTGCAAAAATTCTATCGTATCTAAACACTACTGCATGAGATGCATGCTTTCAACCAGCTTTGCAAACATATATTTTGTTCTATTATATATTTAATAATATTGGTAGCTCAAAAGATTATCCCATTTTTTTCTACTACTGCTTCTTTCTTATCCCATTTTTTTTACATGAAATTAACATATACAATTTCATCCTTTGGTACATGAAATTACAGGAACTAATTCTAGATGGGCAACGTGAAAGTTTTGGTTCACAAAATTTGAGAATGCTGTCGCAATGAAATGGAAGTGCGTAATAATTTAAATATGTGAAAAAACTATTGTAAATTTTTTATTAGTTGTTTTAAGAATAATATATTAAGTACTAATCTATTGGTTTCACTTTTTATGCATAAAAAGTTCATTAATTTTTTTTTCAATAAGATGAGTCTCGCTTGTTATTTACATACACCTATTATTTAAGTAATAATATAATTTGAAATTTAATTTGTTAAATTTTAGTTTAAAATTATTAAATAAAATTATAATATATATTGTTGTAAATAAATTGATATAATGAGTTCTTTCGTACCAAATTTTTTGATGTGTGTCAATTTAGTTGTGCAGGATTTAAACAAACAATTTTTTTTATGATTAAATATATTTTTGGTTTTCATAAATATCTTATATTAATATTTTTGGTTTTCATAAATATCTTATAATAATAACAATGGAACAACAGGATATACAATAATTATTACAATTCTCACCAACACAAATAGTAGTTATGTTAAATTAATTATATAATTAATCAAATATGATAGAAATCCTTATTTTTATATAGTTATTAATATCATTAAGAAAGAAAAAAACGAATTTGTATTTTTCAATTATAAATTATTTAAAGATATTTATCATTAATTCATATACAAATTTAAAGAGTTTCATAATAAAAGACTATCTATAAGTAAAGATGTATTTTATCATTTAGCATCAATCGAGTATTGATCAATTTAAAAAGCTTTCCTTCCTTGTTGTTAATTGTACATATTTGGCCATTGCATGTGGCTACCTATACTACTAAAGCAAAAAACTCTTCACATTTTCTTCATTTAATTTAATTGCGTATACATTTTAACTTATTTCAAATACACGAAGCTAGTAATAAAAAATGGTTTCATTTTTCGATCTTTAAAACTTTCATGGAAAAATGTTTGAGTTTGCAAGACATTCCTAGTTAAATCATGTTCATTTAATGCATGTATATCACGCAATAATTATTTCTATATATAACAAAGGAATAACACGTTTTGAGAGTCAACATCACTTTTTAATACGACAATTTGTATATGAGTTGTTATTAATTTCCTATGAGATAATCATCCTAAACTATAGCTATAAAAGCCCATGTAAGTGTGTTGTATATCATCTTAAACACAAAATTAATAAAATTCGACACTGAATCAAGTAATGGCAAAGCTAAGTTTCATTGGTGTTTTAATGCTTATGGGATTCTTCACCTCAGAAGTAAGAGTAACATCAACAGATTGGCAGCAAGCTCATGCAACTTTCTATGATGGACCAAAGGGTAAAATATAGGCAAATGTGTCAACAATTGTAGATATCTCTGATTCTTATATTTGTAGTTTTTTTAGTTACGGATTCGCAATTTAAAACTATAAAAATATGTAACTCACTTGTTTGATTTGTCTCTACTTGTTGTAGGGGGTGCATGTGGGTATGAAAATCAATTAATAAATGATTATGGAAAAAACACAGCTGCTTTGAGTGAGGCTTTGTTTAATGATGGCAGATCATGTGGTGGCTGCTATCAGATTGTTTGTAATGCAAGTCAAGATCCCCAATGGTGCCTTAAGCGAACTTCCGTAACAGTTACTGCCACTAATTTTTGTCCCCCAAACTATAGTCTCCCTAGTGACAATGGTGGTTGGTGTAATCCTCCTAGACCACATTTTGACATGTCTCGCGCCGCTTTCGAGACCATCGCAATATATAAGGCTGGGATTGTTCCAATCTCTTACAGAAAGTATGTTATATACTCCCTCTAGTTATATTATTCAATCCGTGTATCTGACATTGAATTATATATAGATCAGATACATAATTTATTCAATTTATAGTAATAATGTGATGAATGTTGTGTTGCGTTTATGCAGAGTTGGGTGCAAAAGAGATGGAGGCATGAGATTTACAATGAACGGGGTTGATTATTTTGAGCTAGTGGTTATAAGCAATGTAGGAGGAGCAGGGGATATTTGGAATGTTTGGATCAAAGGGTCAAAAATAGAGAATTGGGAATCCATGTCAAAGAGTTGGGGTGCTAATTGGCAAAGCTCAAGGTATCTAAAAGGTCAAAGCCTGTCCTTCAGAATTCAACTGAGTGATGGAAAAACTGTTATAGCTAAGGATGTGGTACCCTCTGATTGGAGATTTGGTCAAACTTTCAGCAGCAATGTCCAGTTCTGATAGAAAGAATACTCATAAATAAATAAATGTCATTTATACTACATAACTCTTCATTACATCCTTTAATAAATTATATATGCTATTTCAATACATGTTAGAGACATCAAATACTGGACACAGTAATTTAGTGTAATAAAATCACATGTAGTTTCTTACTTGTTGTGTATATGACTTTTGTTACATAATTATTATTCATGTTCTAGGTTGAGTTTAGTGACACTCAATCTATTACTATTACATAATACTTCATGTTTGTCTAAACTAAATGTAAAAGGAATTCAATGTGTAGTCAGACATATTTACCCACATGCCCCCATATATGAATTAATATATCATTTTCACTAAAACAAAAAGAAATAATATATCATAAATTCTTCAATTTTAAAAAAGAAATCCACAAATATCCTAAGTTTTTATTAAAATAAAATACATGTTTAATACGGTATGTGGACGAAGCGTTACTATTCTCATTTGGGCCCCATTCAGTGGTAGGTACCTTTTTTATATATTATTTAATATATTTAATTATTAAAATAATAATTGAAATCTAAAAATATTTGATTTTGAAAAAATTAGAAATAAAATTTAAATCTTTATAAAAATTTCTCATTTATAACAGTAATACTATTTTAAAATATTAAAATAATTATAAAATAAATAAATACACTAATAATGTAGCACTGATACCTCTGAAATAAGATGTGTCTGTAGATGTGTCGATGTCAAACACCTGTATTGACATTTGTGTTTACGTTCAATTTATTCATTTTTTAAATTATTATCAGTATCACCATATTAATGTTGATATGTGTTTAGGGTATTTGTGTTTCATAAACAATAATCATAGAGAAATTTATATATAAATAGGATTAAATATATTTTTGGTCCTTCTAAATATCTCATATTTATTTTTAATTCCTCTAAAAAATTTCTTCAAAGAATGGTCTTCGTAAAAATTTTAATGTTAACTTTTGGTCCTTCGTGTTAAAACAGTCGCTAAAATTATCGCTAATCCGGTCACTAAATAAAAATTATCGCTAAAACCGTCACTAATTTTATCAGTAAATTGTAAAAATCGTCGCTAAATTGCAAGAGGAACCAAAACTTAAAATTACAGTTTTTAGGAGAATTATTCTTTAAAGGAAATTTTTTTTAGGGACTAGTTAAATATGAGAGGAGGACCAAAATTATATTTAATTCATACAAATATGATAATGCACTTACCATTAAAAAAAAGAGTTAAATATGTTTTCGGTCTTCCTAAATGTCTCATATTTAATTTTTAGTCTCTCAAAAAATTTTCTTCAAAGAATAGTCTTCGTAAAAATTTAATTTTAACTTTTGATCATTCTGTAATTCAGCGACGGTTTTTACAATTTAACGACGATTTTTACAACTTAGCGACGATTTTTACAATTTAACGACATAATTAGCGACGGTTTTTTATTTGGAGACTGAATTGACGATAATTTTAGTGATGTTTCTGACATGAGGGACCAAAAATTAAATAAAATTTTTAAGAGGGTCATCCTTTTATAATCATGAGATAATCAATTATCCTCTAGATTTGTATTAGAGGTTTTAATTGGTATCTTTTTCAACAAGTGGTATTAGATCTTTGGCCCATCACATATTTTAATTTCTATAATTTACTATGGATGAGTCAAGCTCGATAGCATCAACAACAATGATTAAGTTAGTCTCTTTAAATTACTCCACTTAGAAGTTCAGAATGAAAAACATACTTTATTACAAAGATTTGTATCAACCCTTGAAAAATAAAAGGACGAAGCCAACCGACAAGTTTAATGATGATTGGAATTTTGTGAACATGAAAATTGTTGAACAAATTTGATAATGGATAGATCAAAGTGTCTTTCATCATATTCTGCAAGAAACAATTGCATACATGTACACCATGGACGGAATTAGAAACCTTATATAAGACAATTATGACGCAGAGTAAAGCCTCTTCGACGATCGGTGAACCTCAAGTATAAATAAAACTAGAGGATTTCTAAACACTAGAGAAATTCTTAAAGATTGGTAAATCAACTCACCAATATGAATATGGTGCTTGAAGACGAATTGCAAGCATTGTTACTACTAGTTCCTTACTAGATAGTTGGAATACACTTGTGGTTTTATTAAGAAACTCAACACAACAAAGTGTTCTAACATTGAACATAGTAAAATATAGTATGTTAAATAAAGAATCAAGAAGGAAGGAACAAGGAATGCCGGTAGAGCCTGAAGCACTACTTCTCACAAAATATCGTGGAAGAAATATCCACAAGTAATTTAATACTAGAGACAAGTCAAGGGACAAGTCAGTACATAAGTACAAGGGAAGATTATGGACAAGAAAAGATGTATAATATTATTACTATCACGAGAAAGGTTACATGAAGAGATAATGTAGGTAGCTTAAAAGAGACTCGCACGAAAATAGTGATTAGAGTAACATAGTACTACCATTTTTCAAGGCAATGCAGTAATTTACGTTTGTGATGTTGGTAATGTCAATTTGGCATCACAAGATACATGTTGGGTCGTGGAGTCTGGTGCATCATTCCTTGTAATCTTATGAATGGATTTCTTTTTACTCCTATACAAGCGGTGATTTTGGTCATGTAAAGACGTGAAATGATAATAAACCCATGATTGTGGGGAAATACTAACTGTCCTCTAACATTGAAAGACATGCTATATACATGTTCCTGACATGCATCTCAATTTAATATCCACATAACTATTAGAAGAAGAAGGATTTGTACAGAGGTTGTTGGATTTCTCACCATTAGAACTATTAGGGTTTAATCGACCCTTATAGTATTAAATTTGTTGATAACCAAATTTATCTGTATAATTGCCATCTTTGGATGTTACCCACATAATTTTCTCATCCTCTTCTAGACTAAGAATAGGAATTTTTTGAATGGCTTGAGCTTTGGTTTTCTAGAAATTCCTAATAAGTTTGTATTGGTTCCAACACTTGTTTTCCAAATCAATTAGGTTCCTAACTCCATCCATTCAAGTTTCTAGGGGTTTATGTGTTAGAAGTTTAAACTCATATTGACTCAAAATCCAATAGTCCTCCCAAACACTTATGAAATTTTCATTTCCAATATTCCAACTCCAACCTTTATCAAAGATCCACCCGACTTGGTGAATGTTATGCCAAATATAATTGTCTTTGTAACATATATTGACCTGTAAGAATGTATAATTAGGATAATATCTAGCTTTGCTATAATTTCTATTGTACCCCAAAATTTTCCATCCCATTTTCTTCAATACATGCTCACAAAAGTCTCAAATACTCAAGAATCTTAAGAGTTGACCAATAAAAACCTCCTCCTAAGCAAAGGGTCTACAACTAGGGTTTTGTGCTTCACAAGGAAATTAGGTTTGAAAAGGTCTAAAATGGTTTTCATGTCTCATCATAGGTCCTCAATAGTGCTCATGTCAAGTTTCAAGTCTTACAACACAAGTTTGCTCAGTCAATGACTCAGATGATTACAAGTCATCTATATTGGGTAAAAAGTCAACTGTGGTCAACATACAGTCAAATTTCAACATTTTTGGTCAACATCAAAATTTTGAAGTGATATTCATTATTTGATCAAGGGTTGATCATGATTCCTCAAGGAAAGCCCTCAAATCATCAAAAGTCAAGAATTGCCAAATTAGGGTTTCCCTAGGAGAAGTCAACTGAACTTTGACCAAGCATAACTTTCACATGCTTCATCAACTTTTCCCCAACCAAAGCCCATTTTGAAGGAAATCAAATTCTCTACAACTTTGTATTTATGCTCAAGTCCAAAAAATGCTTCATTTGAAAGATATGAGCTAATATATTATAGGTTATTTGAAAAGTCAACCAAAAAGACACTTTTTGTCAAGGCAACTTATATTAAGATAAAGTATCCAAATGAAAAAAATGATAAAAAGATAAATTGTAGAGGACATCTTGAGATTTTAAAAAAGTCAAAGATCACTTTCAAAAGATGAAAATTGAGCAAGTTATGAGTTACACAAGTTGGTAAATTTTGAGGAAAATACATGAAATGCAAAATGTGCAAACTTGAAATTTTGGACTTATGACCTAACTTTTTGGGCTTCAAACATGTCCATGACCCTGTGAAATACTCCTAAGCTCACTCCTACCTTGTATTGTATTTTATTATTTTATTTACATTTATTTTGTTTTTATTCAAATAAATGCAAAATAAATTAAAATAGGTATAAGATAAATGGGCCAAGCACATCATGAGTCATTTACAGGCCCATACAACTCGTGACAGCCTAGCAAAACATGCCAAATTCATGCAAGGGTTCAAGAAGGAAAGAATATATCAAAAATGGAAAGTTTTCAAAGTGCTTGATTCTTGTTTAAACATGGCTTGATGAATTAATTTCTTGCCATGTTATTGGAGTCATTCTCTTCCTCTATATAAGTGCAAGCCCCAGATTAGGAATACACACGAAAAAGACTGCCTAAGAGAGATATCCAAAATTCACAAAATTCAAAAGAAATCGCAAAACTTGTAACCATATTTCTAGCCATTATCAATCCGAACCAAGTGCATAAATCACTCCTTGTGGATCAAAGGAGTCATTTATAGCCCTCACACAAGCCTGAAACAAGCCAAAATACTTCCTTTCATCCGCGCCGGTTGGTAAGTATGGTAAGTCTCAAAATATTGTTTTCTTATGGTTTCGATAATTGCTAACACATGAGATCAGTTTATATGCATCATTAGAACATATCTAACGTATTACATGTGAGCTTGGGTGCCTGAATCTGAAAACACCATAGTTAGGGCATAAAAGGCTATGTTCTTCGCATCTTTGTGTATGTTAGCTCCTAAATTTGATACCCACAAAATATTGGTCTTATTGGCCAAAAAATAGATTGAAAAAAACCCTAAGTTGGAGACATTTCGACAAAAGAGCCTATTGAAGTTGGTCATGTTGAAACCTTTCTAAGAGGAGAA